GCTGGTAGAGAGGGTACATATCCCCTCCCAAAGGAGGGCCTTAGCATAAATTGTAGAGAAGTTCCAAGAGAAGGTGTTAGGAAGTACCTTAACAGTGACATTGATTCCTTGCGTTACTGTGAGATTTTCCATCTTCAGAGCTTCCTCTTTCCACATCACCACTATTCTGGATGCGTAGTCACTAGCAGGTGACTAAATTTGAGCGTCAAACCTTATCTCCTCTCTAAGTCTTTTATGGTCAGTCGTCTTAGTTTCTAGGAGAACCAACATTAATAGTTTGTGCGCCTTGACCATTCTGTCACATTGGCACCTGAAGGTTGCGATATTGGCCCCCTTTACATCCTTAATAATGAAGTTCATTATCGAAAATAGTGGTGTTTCTTGATCCTGTAGGCCCTTCCCCTTCCTTTTCATGTCCTCCTGAGATGTCATTGCCATTGGGATTAGATTCACTGCTGGAGGTGATGTTGTTATATCCTTCCTCATGCTTAGTGTTTATTCTTTCACTCTCTGCGGGCATAGTATAATTACCATTTTGTTTTAGGGTTTCTCAAACTCCTTAAAGAAAGATTTCTCCAATATGCAATTTTCGATGTTTTGTTCTCCAATTATATGTATATCTTTAAACTCCTTAGTGTTTCTTTTGAGTAGTTCTAGAAGAGAAGGATCCCCTGTACTTTTCTTTTGGGTCGCAACCGGTAGTAATCCTGCAAGTAGACAGTATTCAAGATGTCTTGTGGTATCCTTGGAATAAATATGGGACTCTAAGATCTGGTTAGGTATGAGTGGGAAGGAAAGAAGGGTAGTGACTAGAAAGTCTGCCCTATTATGGCATTGAGTTCCTCCATTGACATCATTTGATGTTCCCCATCATTGTGTCTCCCTCAGCTATTACATCCCGATTTGGTTCCCTAGATCGATTATAGCTTGGTCTACTCACTTCTTGATTATTTGCACTACGTACGCCAGGTCCTGCAGAATCAGTGTAATGGCTTGTCCTGCTATCATGACCTTGATAGTCAACTGCTTGTCTTGGAGTGCCAGCTCTAGCTAGAAGGAAGGCTTGTGGTCTAGGGCTTCAGGGCCAATGTGAAAATCAGTGGTTCAGTGGTAGAGGGGTTAGGAACCATGACTATGGGTTTCTTGAAGTATGCTCTTTGAAAAGTCTCTTTGCTCGCTCTATTTATCGATGGCTAGGGTAGCAGAGTGTTGCATTCACTCGTTGACAAATTGTTACTATTGTGATGATGATTTTCATTGAAGCGGGAACGAAGCGCTTTGCGCTCTCCAGAGAGGCTTCAAAGGCCTTAATTGTTTGGACCCATGTCGTGATTAAGTTAATTGAATGCTAGCAACAAAATAAATTTCAAGTTACATTGATTTCCTGCAGTTCCATTCCTTGGGGAAATGGAAGAGGGGTTAGTGGCATTGAATATGTTGTTAGGTGGGGAGTTAATGTGGGAAGAGGGTAAAAGAAGGGGTCTGTATTATCATAATTAATGTTGATGTATTGTCTTGTTATTTTTCCTTGATTAGTTTTCCAGTCACAACCTAGACTGGTAGTCGAGGTTCCAGTGGGGAAGGACATACCTGGATGGCGTTCTGGTTCTTTTACCTGGCACGACCTTTGTTGTAACACCCCAATTTTTTTTCAAACTGAGACTCGAACCATCTTTCGTTGTGAGTAGAATTTTAACGAGGAAATTAAATTTTCTTGAGTGTTAACTTCCCTAGATATAGCACATTTAGTTCCAAGAAGAACTAAAGAGAGTTCATTCAAGTCATTCCTAAGTTCCTTTGAGTTTTGGGTAAAATCCAAATGACTATAACTTTCACTACAAGATGATCTAGGTGGGCTAGAAGGTACCCAATGAAGGGTCTGTGAATTATCTTTGCAACACCTTCGAGTTTTGTAAGTTTCAAGTTTGGATAAGTGAGATGCTCTTTTGATGTCAGGTTTTCCAATTAAGGAAATTTACCCGAAATTAGTAAGACGTATTTTGGTATTTTTCTTACCCAATCAGATTTAATTCATTTTTAGTAATATTTTAGGGGTCAAATCCTATTAGGTACACTTTTATAATCCTAATATATGCCTAGGGTTTTAGTTGAGAGTTCAAGAAGAGAAAATGAGACAAAAAGGAGAAAAGAGGAGAGGATCAAAGCGTTCGTCAAGAGTCTTGCATTTTGTTGTGAATTTTTCCCACGGTTTTAATCCCTAAGAGGTATGTAAGCTTCCATAGTGTTGAATTTTTTCACCCACATGCCATCATGTTATTTTTAGGACAATTTCATTCTTGAAGTGGAAAGATTAGAGTTCTTGATAGGTGTTCTTCAAGTTCATTTTAAATCTTGTTGTGTTTGGGATTTTGATGATTTCTTGATAAATTTAATTATTTAAGTCCTGTTTTGAGTAGGTTGGAGTGAATTTATGTTAAGTAATCAAATCCAAAAGATTGGAGAAGAAACTATTCGATTCTAGGCGACTTAGGGTGAGAAAACAAGCAAAGAGAGTCGTCAAAGTTATTTGTGTTGGGGCCCAGAACCTAACACCATCCAGAGTGCCCCAACCACCTCTTTGAAGTTTAGGGGCTGGTACCCCACTCAGAGTTCTAGGGTCGCCTGCCCCCCACCTGTTCTTCATCGTTTCATCCTATTGAGTTCTTTCAAAGGGTACTTTACTCCACTTTGATTCTAAACATTCTAAGTTAATTCTAAACACCTAGCAATAATTCATAAGATTATCCAACTTTGAATTAATAATTCAAATTCTAGGTAGAGTTGAGAGTTACGTTTTGAGAATTCTTTCGAACATTCTAAGAAAGTCCTTTTGAGAAGCCTACTACAACTTATAGTAACTTGTTTCAAGACTCGATCAAGTGAGTATGAGAATGAAAAGAATGTATTAATGATTCTACCTTTTCATCATGATATTATCCATATCATGAACAAAAATTCTTTAATTCACAATTCACAATCAAGAGAGAGTTAAGAGTATAATCAAGAAAGCCTTTGAGTTCAATTGTGAATTTTTTGAGATCCAACATTAATTTGAACTAAGTTTTAAGGAAGTAAGTAAGAGAATGAAAAGAGTCGTATACATGAGTTCCATATAGTTATATAGAATTTCGAGTTGAGTCTTTCATACTCATAAATTCCACATGAACTCCATAAACTGAGTATCATTGAGAGGAGTAGTATCTTCAAGTTCAAAGTCTTGAGTTTTGGGTTTCTAATCCTCTTTGAGATTATATTTTAAATCAATGGACTGTTACATATTACCCATAAAGTCCTTAAGTTGAATTGTTCATACTCATAATTCTACATGAACCCTTTAAGTCGAATAGTTTTGAGTTGAGATGAATCTTTGAGTCCTTAAATTGAGTAGTTCATGCTCATAATTCTGCATAACCCTCTGAGTTGAGCATTCTTGAAATCGGTATTACCATTGAAGTTCTTGAGTTCTTAAACTGAGTTTTGAGAAAGTAACAATGATTTTTGAGAGATAGATTTTTGAGTAATTATCTCAAACCAAAGAAACAATTATGTTTTTAAACATATGATCTAGTACATTTTGGGAGTAGTATTGAGTACCGATATGGGAGAGAGTTCAAATAAATCACCGTCGCCATAAACCATGTAGCCATTATGGTAGAAAGGATCATAATTTTTAGATGAATTCTTATTGATTTTAATCATAGACTAGTGGATCCACTTAGTTAAGGCGTTCTACATGACAACAAAGTATAAGACAGTTCTGGCAGCGTGGGAAAGACGATGTATCATCACTTAGGCTCATAGTGGTGGTTGTCGGTTAGAGACTCCCACCGAGTTATATTTTATTTTGATATATATAAGTTTAGTTTTCTTGTATTCTTCAATACACTAAGTGTCTTTCTATTGTTTTAAAAGCGTTGCATATATTGCATGTGTATTGCCACTTTATATTGAGTTGAGTATGTAGAATCGAGTATCATATCTTTGAGTTGAGTATTTAATATTCTAGTTGAGTATAATGAGATTAACTATGTTTCATTGTGTCGATTACCTTATTGTTGAGTTTTGCTGAGTTGGCAACTTTATTACGGATTTGAGTATCTTATCCTTGAGTACTTCTGAGTTGAGTAAGTTTGAGTAGTTTTGAGTATCCTTGAGTATTCCTTGAGTTGAGTAATTTGAAAATAGGTAAGTATGTTTTCTTTTTATCAAGTTCAAGCTTATGTTTATACATTAGAATTCCTCATACATGCTTGTACGTTCTACGTACTAAGCCATTTGGCCTGCATCCTTTAATGATGTAGATACAAGTATTCAGGATTAACAAAAAGAGCTTCGTTGATACCGCATGGAGTTCAAATTAGCTATGTTGAGCCACCATTCTTCCTGATGGTTCATTTTTTACTTTCAGTTACGTCCGTTGTTAGGAGGTTGTGGATCGTTCCCCGACTTTCATCTTCGTCATTTAGAGGCTTCATAGATAGACTGTAGAGTTTCAGAAGTTTGTCCATTTACTTTGTTAAATGTTTTAAAGTCTTAAGTTGTCTATTTTGGGGTGAGTTAAATATATTATATTATATAGAGTTCTCTTTTGAGGTAAATCTATGTATTTAAGTTTCATGAATTTTATTCATTTTATTTAGTTTTTAAGTTTTTGTATGCTTGAGTTAGTCTTCCGCTTGTATTCAACAAGGATGAGGATTCACTTGAGACCAACAATGGTTCTCGAGTGTCAGCCACGTCCAAGGTATAGACTCGGATCATGACATTTTCCTAGCATTGAATTTGTTTTCTCATGTTCAATGAGGAGTCTAGATCTCAGTCTTCTTTTTCCTTTTCTCATTCACTGGACTGCTATATTCATTTGATATTTTGCACAGTTTAAAAATTTATTAAATACGAATAAAATTTCATACACATATTTTATCGACCAATAATTTCTGGGCCTCAATCTTGACCCATGATTTAGTCCTATTGTATAAAAATACTATTTTTAGGGCTCTATTAGGTTAAAAGAAATAGGTTGTGGTGAAATAAAAAAATAGGGTTGATGTATAATTTTCAGATTGAATAAGATAATATTTTTTCCTTTGGAGCCTCCACCCAAATCACCACCATCGTCCCATTTCCCCACTCCTTTTTCCAGTTGCAACCATTGGAAAACAACCAGCAAACCACCAGATCTCCAGCCACACGAAGACCTAATGGCAGGTTTAAATCCACAACTAAACCTACCTGAAATCGACAGTAATAACGACAAGACAGCTCCACCAATCCTCCCTCTCTCACATTCCAAAAACCCGCGTGAAACCCCATTTCACTTTTCCTCTTTCTCCAGCTGAAACAATAACCATCCAAACTAGACGACACAACCCCCATTTCTTTTCTTTTCCATCCAAAGCGCCTCCGTCCTCGCCAATTTTTGTTGTCATCTTCGGCATACAGCGTTCCTCCATTTTCTCAGACCACGAACCACCAGATCAAAACCACAATCTTCCCAGAACACCACAAACCAAACCAAATACCCCTTTGTTTTTCACCCTTTTCCGTTGAAAAAACTCACTGGAAATGACACTGAAACAACAATTCCAAACAGGAACATCAAATCCAGTTGTAAATCAGTCCCTATCCCATTTCTCCTTTAAGAGTTTCTCTTATTTTGCAGGTAACTTCTTGTTATTCTAATGAGCTCAGACAGCGAACAACGATTCCGGAGAGGAAACCACAAGCTCCTAAGATTTAAAACCCATTTCAAGATCCACTCAAAAATAGAAATATTTGGTAATTTTCTCAATTTGTTTTGTATTTCTATAAGATCTCTAGAAGAGAAGATCAAAATAGTCCCTCTTCTTTGGGCTAAGGCTCAAAGTGATCCTTGAGTTTTCACATAGAGCACTAATAATGCCTCATGTTTGCAATATTGGTACATTTTTTGTCCTCCTCCAAAATTTTACCTTTTTTTGCATTGATTTTATCCATAACCTATATATGGGATGTTCAATAGTCATTTTATATATTTAGTAGAAACAACAACTCCATATCAAAGAATGTGAGAAGAAAAACACTTTGTTTTGTTTAGTAGAAATCGTATTGCAGGTAAAGTCAAGAGGTTCATCACGATAATTTCAAGTGCAATAGTATAAATTTTTTCTTTTCCTGCAAATTCATATGTTGAAATGTTCTTAGTTTAGCTGCAGTAATATTTCTCGTGAACAGAAAAAAGTATTTTTCTTATCATTTATCTTAGATAAAGTTATTATTTCTTAATATATTAAAAGACGATTGGACATTCCTTAAATAAAATTTTGGATAAAATTAATATTAAAAACAAGGCAAAATTTAAGGAGAGGACCAAAAGTACACCAATATTGCAAATCTGAGGGACTATTAGTGCCCCGTGTGAAAATTCAAGGATCACTTTGAGTCTCCACCAAAGATGAGGGACTATTTTGAGCCTTTCCTCAGATCTCGGTGTATATTTTCAGATGTTCATATAATTGTTGATGCGTATTTTCTATTATAGAGTTTGCTTAGTTGATTTTTATATTATTCTTTTTTATGTTTACCTGCTTTTTAAAAAAAAAATTGGCAAGATGTTTTAGATTATTTTATTCATATTTTATGGTCTGCTCTTATTTTCTTTGATTATTATTTGAATATTTAATTTCTAGTTTGTTTTATAGTAATAGTGAATTATTGTTAATTATTTTTTGGTAGTAATTATTTGATGTTAGATATTTTTCTTACTCATGTTGAATTTTATTAGTCTTATTGTTACTCTTTGTAAATGTTGAAATTTTCCAGCAATTTTAATTGGGTTTTGTGATGACATGACATTAGTTTGATTATTTATTTATTTTTTCACTTGTTTATTGTTCTGGCCATGGAAATTTTCTCTTAACACCTTGTTTTTAATTGTTGGTTTTTTTGTCATTTTTTTATGTTGTTGTCGTTGTCACTATTATTATTTTATATGTTAAAATGGTCAATGAAAAAATATCTTCATTAGTTTTGGAGGTCTTCCCACTTTAATAGACGGATATTTTTGTTTAATTTTATATTTTTATATGTTAAATTGGTCAATGAGAAAATCTCTCCGTCGATTTTGGAGGCCTTTCCATTTTAAAAGACGAAAATTTAGTTTAAGTATATATTAAATAGTTGTTAAATTTGACCGATGAAAAAACTACCGTCGATTTTCAAGGTCTACCATGTTAGAAAGACGGATTTTTATTTTTAAGCTATTATTTGAGATATTCATTTTTATTTATATTAATTTAGTACTAACACTTTTACTAAGTGTCTTTAAAAGTATGCAGAGGTGCTATTCCTTGAAATTATTCGAATGTAGTTCGAATTATACTTTTTATTCAAATATTTTGTATACATTGATGTTAGTCAAACTTTAGGTCGTTTCTTATATTTTCTTATTTTATTATTTGATCCATATTGAATGTTTATTATACTTGTACATTATTTTATTCTCCTCCTCAATTTGAAAAAATGAATGCAAACAGGACCCACATTTGTGGATTCCGAAGGGTGCCTAACCCTCTCCCTTCGGAATAATTTAAACCCCTTACCTAGAATCAAATCAGTTTCGTAGATCACTTAATGGCTTCCTAGTTTTTTTCCTAAAATTAGGTGGCGACTCCTTTTTAAAATTCATTTATTCATTAAATTCTTTTTACAATTGAATCAATTGATTATTTTTGAGTCACCGCGACGTTTCGCCCTATTTGAATAGAGTAGGGATGTAAACAATGATCCATTGTGTACCCAAAGATTCAATTTGTGACACACCATTACCAAAGATTCTCAAACTCGCAACACTTGCTTCAAATGCAAGTTCAATCTCAAGAAAAGTATTCGAAATGCCCTCACAGAAATGATGATTACATTCTCACACACATGATGTATAATCATTTAAGGTTTGGGAATCAGATACAACGCTCACTTTCACAAAGAATAACACAATGCATGCTTTCACCCATAGGTTTACCCGTATTTCGCTATCAACATTTGTCTCAGCTTTATCAAGATCAGAAAAGTTTTTAAGGGTTGTAATGGGGTTGAGTGCAAAAGTATGATCATTTAGGCTTAGTGACTTTTATCCATATGAAGTGTGGTGCTCATAATACTTCCTTTCTCCTTCTTTCATTCTTTTCTCTATTGCTCAAAAGTCATTTCTTTATTCACTTTCCGTGTATTGTTTGGGGAACCCTATTTCTTTTTGTATTTATATACTTTATTCCATGACTCTCTTTTTCTTGATTCTTTTCTAATTTCTTTTTTTAAAAAATATGGAGGGGTTCCATTCTTCTCAATATCATGGGTTTAGGGAGATTATTTTTGCACTCATTGACTTGCTTTCTCCTCTTCACCACACCCTTTTGGCCTAAGTTGAATATTCAGTAAACCACAAATCAAGAGGATTATGGGTATAGGATTAAGAGAGGTCATGTTTTTGTCAAGTTTCATCCAAACATAGTTAAGTCTCAAGGTGTTCAGAAGAGGTTAACAAACTCACAATGTAGGTCACAAAAGAGGTATGTGTCAAATTGGCTCACACTCTATCAATATGCCTAAGATCATATCAAGAGAGTCACTTAGTTAACTGATCCAACAGGGCAAATTCTAGGTTTTGTTATGCATGGTTCATGGTAAGATTATTACACAAGGCATCAAAACTAAAGTCAAACAAGACTCCACACTTTTTCTAATGTGTAACGGTCATCACAAGAGGACCGATTTTATACATGGCTAATCACAACAAGATGCAAAGACTTCACATATTGTCCAACTTCATTTGGTCTAATTGTATTTGCACATTCATGTTTTTTTATTGCAAGCACTATTCAAGTCATCGATATTGGATGAAACCAATACTCAAATTTACCAAGGAATAGCCACATTCACGTGCATCCAAGAGGTGGCAAAAATTCACAAAAAAATTAAATGTATTTAGAAGGGTAAAAATCATTTTTCAATTATGACAGAAAGAGAGTCATAAGCTCAAACATTTAGAAAAGTATATAAAACATCTTTTAAACATAAAAACCCAAATATCAACAAAACATCAAATAGTAATAGTAGTCGCAGAAAATGTGGGTTTCCCCCACCACAAAAAAGAAGCTATTTTTCCTCAAATGCAGCTGAATAAATGTGTCCAAAAGTGCAAGCAAGCAAAATATAGAGGGACGTAAAGAAAAGTTAAGTCTATGCAATATTTCCATCTATCGGGGCTTGAGCGCTCGGTGCGGCAGTATGTACATGAGAATCAGTGCCCAGTTTGACCTTAGAAGGACCAGCTCCACTGGATCAAGCAGTTGGTGCCTTTTCTAAGGAAGCCTCCACAACAACATTAATCATGATTGCTTCTGTCTCGGTTCAATCCTCGTTGGTAGCTTCCATAGTTTGCTCAAGTATCTCTTCATCAATTTATTTCTCTGACACCGGATCGCCTGCCTACTCTGTATTATACTCCTGTCCAGTGGTTGCTTGAGGTATCTCAAGCATGTCTGGAATCTCTAGTGTTCCAAATATCATGGACATATTGGTGGACTTCAAGTATTCCACATCTTTTCTTAGCTCGTCAATGGTTGATTTTAAAGTTATCAACTCTTTTGTGGCCCCTTGATCGCACTTACACATTGTTATCCTAGTTGCTAGGGCATCAATGGTAGTGATCAGTGGTGTAACATCATAATTGATGACATTCTGGATCATGCCAGGAATGGAGGTTTCAAGACTAGCCACCCGACAATTGGCAGACTAGCAAGTTGTCCCATACGGACTAGGGATGCTTGAATGATTTGATCACGAGAGACAACAACAACAATAGATGAACTTGGATTGTTAGCAAGAGGAGTAGTGGCACTAGATGTACCTAAAGGCATAGTGGTCGGAGTAGTCAAAGATGCCTCTGGAGGTATTGGATTTATGGCCACCGGGGTTTCCTCTTTCTTCCTCTCTACTTTATCCTTAAGATACTCAATTTTGATTCGTGTGATATCAGTGGAAAATTTGGGAGTTGCTTCCACATCCTTCTTAGCATCTCTAGGTACCCCAACTCTTTTGCACAACACAATTATCAACAACAGGAACGGGAGAGAGGTCCAACTCTTTTTTGCACGTATATGGTTCTCTAAAGCAATGATCGTCCCCAAATTTATCTTAGTTTTCTTCATAATGCATCCCAAACAATCTGCCTTAGCAAGGCAAAGAATTGATTCATTTTGGGATGACATAATTGTGCTACTGATGAACCGAAACCAGTCTCTTGGAACTATGTTCAGATCTTTCTTTTCAGTTGAAGCTCCTACTTCTCACCACTACGGAGCATCATCATCTGAGATTAGTAGGGCTAACAACTTTTTCATCTCATCCAGCTTTTTCGTTCTAATCAAGTGCTGTCAGTGATCCTCAATCTTAGTGGACATGCCTAAGACTGTGTTGATAGCCTCAACAACTTTGAACGATGGTACTAGCTTTTTCCTTTGAGATACTAATGCACTGTATGCACTGTAAAATTCTCTGACCTAGCCTAGTATATAAGAGCCAAGGGGTCTGGTGAAGATTTGAAATTTGTGATGTAAAATCCTTAATGATCGTTTCAACCCCTCAGACTTTAATCTATTTATTGATTTAGGTGGAGGTCCTTGCTCTGGAGGTCTCTATACTATTGCCTGCTCTGGAACTGAAGGGGTTAGAGTAGTAGATCGAATTTACGACCCGATACAAATCATTCACCTTTTTAGATTGTATCTCATCTCTGTTCC